TAGACTGGAAGAGTGACTCGTTTACACTATTAGGAATTGTATTTACTCACAACATCGCAGAAATGGTTGAACGCAACTATAAAGATAAACTTAAGACTCTCAAAATATCAATGAATCAATGACTAGCAAGAGATCTAACTCCCTTAGGTAGAAATACCATATTGAAAAGTTTACTTTTACCGCAACTTAATCATTTGTTTTCAACTCTACCCAACCCAAATGATCAAATGATTAAGGAAATTGAGCAGCTCTGCTATAAATTTATATGGAAAAACAAACCAGACAAAGTCAGTCGAGAAACTATCACAAAGAATTATGAATACGGAGGAATACGAGCCCCAGAGATAAAAAATCTTATTCAATCACAAAAAATATCATGGATTAAAAGACTCACCAACTCAGATTCATAAGTAATTGCTACAAACGAAGACACATTGGGACATCGACAGCTTTATACAAACATGCGAAACACACATACTTGAATCAGTAATAACACAAGAAACAAATCATTTTTGGAAAGACACTTTGAAATCATGGGGTAAATTCATAACCAGAAAAGCAGAAAAAGCAAAAAATGCATGTGGTATTTTATCCCAACCCTTATGGTTAAATGACAATATTAAAATAGATGGAAAATCAATCAATTATAAACATTATTCAAGCAAAGGGATTACTTATATAAACGACTTGTTTGACGCCCAAGGTAACTTTTTAACGGTGGAACAATTTAAAAAATCGTTTTGGTGCAAAACTAACTTCCAAGAGCGTCAAGGAATAGTGGAATCAATTAAATACTACTGCAAATCCATAAACATCCATATTGAAGAGAAAATCCAAGCTCCGATCCTGCCATATCTTTTACGAAATATAGTAGGAAACCCAAAAGGATGTAGAGATATCTATGACATACTCATAAATGGTAAGTTTAGAAAACCTTTAACATATCGAAACAAGTGGAAAAAAGAACTTAATGAGTCTATTGACGATAATATATGGGAAACGATAGAAAAAACAACCTTTAAATCGTATAATAGTGTAAAACACTCGTGGTTTCAATACAGCATACTGCATAGGTTTCTGCCAACAAATGATTGGCTAACAAAAATGAAATATAAAGATTCCAACACATGCACATTTTGCAAATCCGAGAAAGAATCAAATCTACATCTATTTTGTGACTGTAAAGTCATAAAAACTATTTGGAAGACAATAGAAGAATTGATATTCGAAAAAACAGGATCAAATATTATCTTTTCAAAGAAAAATATTATTCTAGGATATTGTGAAAAGAGAAACCATGCTCTGAATTTGATAAAAACAGTAGTGAAATATAATATATACAAAATGAAACAAAGAGATAAAACACCAAATTTGAACTACATTATAGAAGACGTAAAGACAACATATTATGCTGAACGTTTTAATGCCTATTCAAATTGCGAATATGAAAGCTTCACAAAATTTTGGTCACTATGTCACAACCTGTTCTGTTAACCTAGCGCTATATATAATGTACTGCTATTATATTTTCAAGTACCTATTCATTTCCACCTGAATGCACATTTGCCTGTAAATCGACCCGTTATGTAATGAACTGTATGACCTGGATGTATGGAGAATCAAAAATAAAAACAAACTAAAATGTTAATACATGTTTCACAAGTGAGCCTTGTGGAGGGAAAACAAAGATCACATAGGAGACTTGTTGTTATGCTTTAATTTCCTTGATTGTAATAACATACTTTTTCGTTTACGTTACAACTGTAATGACAAGAAACAGTGTAAAATATATCATCACAAAATTCATACACTTACAGAACATTGTACCAGGAAAGTAGAGATTGCGTAATCAGCTCTTGTTGCCACATCCTTGTTTTTAACCTGGATGTTTCCGTAGCTTTCGGTCTTGGTCGCATCAGGCCAATATTTTGCACTTTTTTTCTAGAAAACAAAATGCCTTGGATTAGTTTACCCTTTGCTCATATTATCAGTATGTGGACATGTAGATAATTCACTAAATGTTTAATAGAACCTTGGAGCTCCCATGAAACACATCTTACTTTGTTCATCTCCATCAGCCTCGTCAGCATGACTATCTGTGTGACGTCCTCCTGCCACACCATCCGCCAGAAGTCAGTGACTGTCGTCGGTTTGGGTCCTGTGGTGTCAATATATTTTCTTTAGGTCTAAGAAGGTCATATCTAGTATAGTATATACAAGGCAAGCCGGACTATTCGACACACACATATCCTATAATAGCATGATACATCTAACGTACCTTGTGTGGCTATGTACGTCTGAGTATCATCATAACCCTGAAAAATAACATAAAATATATTACTTTGTACGCTGAATACATCACATGAGTCCCTGCCTCCATATAGCTTCATGTGAGGCATGTGAATTACGGTACATTACATAAGTAATTTTAGATGGTTATTGATTACTGAATTTAACGAGGCACAATCACTATGATATCGCGCCAGTCTTGTATTACCTTGGTGAGACTATTGCACCATTTTCAGTGATTGGTCCTTCTCCGTCGTTGCTAAGTCTGTTTACTTACATAGATATAATTGGCATTGATGTAGTCCTCCCCATCTGCCAACACTACCCTCGATTCATCATCTGGAGAAATAACAATCAGCATGAAACCTTCTGTAGTGGCGTGTAGCGACATCAATAGTTTGGTTTGAAGTAGTCTTGATATTAACGTTTGTTACCACAAAACTCTGAAAAGCGCATACAGACCTGTGTGTGTTTTGTTGCAAATATTCTTTCATTCATTGTTGTTACACACACTGCATCTTTATTTATATACATCTGTCACATATAAGCAGTATTCTTTAATTTGTGGTCTGATCTTCAGTTATCAGCTTACATGGATACAGAGCTATGAAGCGGTTCTTCGCCTTGTTTTCTGGCTGCTTGCCGACGTCATGTGGGTGTTTTGCTCCATATGGGATGGCCTATAAGACATATGTGGTAAGTTAAGCACAAGGTTGTAAACATATACACTGACTACTCTTATGCCTTGGCTATTTTAACCAAGTGTCGTTTTTTAATAGGAAATGGTAGAATGTATTTAACTGTTACTGTCCCTTAAAGGCTTCTTTTCAGTCTTGCAAATTTATGTTCATGTTCCGTATCTTCTCATCTCCCTGAATGTTGTGTCGTAATATAGCAGAGCTTAGTCATGTGCGTCATGGAGATGCAGGTATTTATGATATACCTGACATAGATATTCTCTTGTAGGCAATATCTGTATTTAATATTGTGTGACACATTGTATCTGTTTGAAATGGTAAGCATGGGATAAATCACACTGCATATAGAGACCAATTATAGCAGATCATATGGAATGAATTGTGAGATTCTTGCAGCTGTAGCAACATTGTTGGTCTTGGGCATCGAACCCGTGATTTCCGTATGGTGATCCACTTTAAGTACTCAGTTGTTCATATTGTTTTCAAAACCCAAATGGAATGTATAAGCAGGATGTGTACATTGTTTGAACAAACCTGAAATTCCGTTGGAAAAGTGGCCTTAGTTTTCTTTTCAATTATACTCTGTTGCAGAGTGTCCAGTGTCATGTGAGGTGGTACAAAGTTGTAGTAGGTGGCGGAAGTGTCGTTATCAGCGTCCCCTTCAGCTTCAACAGATAGGGTTGCGTCTTCGTCTTCATCGTCCTTGTTCGCTGGTGTCGAACTGGGTTTCTTTCTGGCTGCCTTGTCTGAAAACGTTCTCGATGTTTTGAAATTACGAAACCTTCTTCTCTAACAGTTAATGATTCTAGTTTCGCACTCCAACAGAACAAAAAAGTATGATTTTCCATTGGATTGGTCATGCAATACCAAACCACATCTCTCCAATGTTTATACAAAAAGGATTTGACTGCGTCTGTGAGTATTTTTATGGTAGTAGTACACGATATCAGCCTAGAGAAGACAAGTTAGCAAAATACCACTGTTTTTTCTATTTGAGATAAAACGATGAGTTCAGTCTGTTTTCAATTTGATGTTGAAATTTATAATATGACAAACTGATAAATGACTTACGCTTAAACATGTACACATTCCATGTAATTTTACTTCCAGTATGAGAGAGTTACATGAATATATTCACTTAGTTATTGTGGCATTATTAATATTAAATTTAATCTACAACACTCCAATCTTACCAGTTCTGGTTTTTAAGTTAGTTTTATCTTTGGTAAACTGCAGCCTCTCGTCGTCATGTTTCGGTTGTTTCCTTTAATATAAGAGAAAAGAAAGCAATTTAATACCGAGAACACCTGCCTTGTTGGAATAGCCATAGGTCGCGACATCAAAGGTTTCATATAAGCATCGGCAATATGACGTGATACTTATGGAACCATCATCCAGGGTCACAAGAGATTAATGTAACGACATAAAAAGTGTAAAAGTGCTCATACCTCCGCCTGAAGATGATAACTACGACGATTATGACGATCGCGATTGCCAGCAGAGCTGCAACTGTCCCTCCAATTATACCTGCCATAGAGTCTTCCTTATCAGCATTAACTGACAGACCTTCAAAAGTCAGTATATAATTTTATGAGGCAGTTACGGAATGGCCAACATGCTTTATATATTCACTGTATTTTCAATATCTTACACTGTTTTTGATGCTTTGAGAAACGAAATATTCAAAGTAATTGATATAGGCGTTAGTTGGTAAATCGTGAGCGCGCTCTTTTCTTTAATGTAAACAGATTGAAACTTTCTAATTTCTGCCATATATACACTTACAAGGTCAACGTAGCAGACGAACAGCATTGCGATATGGTTGACCATTTGTAATGTACAAAGCAACAGTATACTTTGATGGTAATCCTCCAATAGGAATTTCAGGGTTTCCAGTTTCCAAAGTTTGATTCAAAGTGATTAATATATGATTGTTACTCGAATTAAATATAATAAGTGTTTATCTGAGAAAGCTGTTCTTCTCCGAGTTTATACACGTAGGCACATTCTTACGCTCACAACGGGCACCTAAATACCCTCCATCACATCCACTCCCGCAGGTTCCGTTAGTTTTGTCACATACTGTGGTGTTCTTGCAGTGACCACATTCTGACGTACAACCACTGCCGTACCTGCCGTCTTCACATACTGAAATAACCAGCATGGTATCACCAAGCCTCATTTACATGTGTCTGTTTGTGTAGGAGAATACGTTATATTCTACATACACAAAAACCGTGGACGTTGAAGTTAAATTACTAAATGTTCATGCAGATTGAACTCTAAGTAACCAGCCATTAGATGACGTGAGAAAAACAGATATAGCACAGATACTGAGAATAAATGCCCATAGACATAAACCTTTCTCTATAAATACCTGCATTTCATCAAAATGCAAATCAAATAGCTAAGACATCTCGGTGCGACAACAGGTCAAGACTGAGTAATGGGAATGTTCAAGAGGTTTTAATTATTCATTTGTTAAACATAAATACTGTAATTGTATATTTACTATTTGAGAGTGTTTTTGTTCCCGATGAGAAAGAGAATATTCAGTTTAAGTAATGTTAGGAGTTAGTCGGGAAATGGTAATTGTGTTCTATTCTTTGGAAATATATGGCTGTACACGCACAAATGTAAACAGATTCAAAATCTCAGATTTGGTACATATAACACAAACACTTGCAGGCTTACGCATACAAGGTCAACATAGAATGAGAAAAGTATTGCAAGCATGCGATCATTCGTAATGTACAAAACAACAACATACTGCGATAGTAATCCTCCAGTCGGTATTGAAAGGTTCCCAGATTCCAGCTTTGGATTCATGGTGATTACGTTCGTTACTCGAAATTATACATTCCCTGCTCATCTGCATTTCCCAAGTTCAGACATACTTACTCTCACAGCGAGCACCTGAATACCCTCCATCACATCCACTCCCGCAGGTTCCGTTAATTTTGTCACATACTGCACCACTCTTGCAGTGACCGCATTCTGACGTGCAACCGATGCCGTACCTCCCGTCTTCACACACTGTAATAACTAGCATGGTATCACAAGTCTCATATACGTTAGTCTCTTTGTGTAAGAGGAAACGTCTTATACGTGTCTTACGAATGTTAACAGTGGAAAATGTAGATACCGTCCATACAAAGACTGACATGTAAATAACCAATCGTTAGAACAAAGGAACAAGCATTGTAAAGTGAGGACTCTGGATGAGACATGATCGGGAACCAAATCAACCATTTACCGTTATGACACGTGTTATCCATCCACCCTGCTGCACATCCGTTGGGACATAATCCCGTTGACTTGTTACACACATCTTTGTCCAGACAGTTTCCACACTTGGACGTGCAGTCAGTACCATAGTAATCATCTGGACATGCTGTGAAAAGAAGCTCACTTCAAATGAAATGTCACAAATTTGACCTGAAGCAATGGGCAATACTAATATTGTGACATACATATGCATTCCAATCGTTGAAGAACATACACAATACTCATCTCGTTCCCCCCCTAGAAAGTGTTTTCATTATTATTGAATTTTTACGGGTATGAACTTGGTATACTGTGCACAAGTCAAGGGAAGGTTTACCACAAAACGATCACAAACAGGTCACTTGACAATTCACATTAACCTGTTGTGTAAGGATATTTTTTGTTATTTTCAGAAAGAACTATCTGGTCACTTCATTAATTTTCCTCGTATTTATTATAACTAAAAACGCTACAGTTTCGGAAGTGTCTTTAATAGCTAAACTTTAGATGTAAAACCGTATTGTTAGAAAGACCTAATACTGTTATGTTACCAGAACCATAATGAAATATATTCATGTTCATGAGTTCATTATATGTAAATGTCATATACTAAACATCTAAGACTCACCTTGATGACACGTGTCGTTGATCCACCCTGCTGCACAGCCTCCAGGACATGTTCCATTTGTCTTGATGCAAACGTCACCATCCACACAGTTGCCACATTGGAAGCCACAGTTCGTACCATAGTAACCATTAGGACATGCTGTGAACATAAACGAATTGTCATGAGGCCAATACTATTTGAAAGGACGTAGAGGAATAGGTGAATTAATGCAATGGTGACAAAACGGAATTAAAAACATTCATTAGAAATATCAAGACACACGTTGTTTAGGTGTCTAAAAGGTATGAATTAACAAACAAACAAATTTATTGTTACCCCAAAAGAGTGCAGTTAGTGATTTATTAAAAAACTCGTACCATCATTATTAAAGTCATAAATAAATTTCAAGGAATACCATACATTAAGAGGACAAATGTCACCTGCATAATTCTACATAGTATAACACTCACGATGTACACAGGTATCGTTCATCCATCCTTCTGCACATCCTCCAGGGCATATTCCTGTTGACTTGTTACACACATGACCATCAAGGCAGTTTCCACACTGGGAGGCACAGCTGATGCCATAGGAACCATCTGGACACGCTGTACACAAGTATATCATGTTCTTTATGATAACATCAAGGACAATATTCTGCTTTTGAAAGCATTCATTTTTGTACCCTCATGGAGTATCAGACAAACATAAAACAACCCTATATTACCAACCGCAAGCAATGGCCCACGTCGGTAAACAAACTGAAGTGACACAACATGAACTTTTGGACATGGTGTCCAATATTTTGAAAACTTTCTTCAAGATGAAATGTTTTTCTTGTGTTTCTTGGTAAAAAAAATCCGAGAATCATAGAGAGGGGAAATCGTACGGAAGCGTAGAAGGGCCACGGTTAAATATGTTTTTGGTCTTACTATCTCCTACGTAGGACTAAGTATCTCCTACGTAGGACTTAATATCTCCTACGTAGGACTTAGTATCTCCTACGTAGGACTTAGCATCTCCTACGTAGGACTTAGCATCTCCTACGTAGGACTTAGCATCTCCTAAGTGGGTATCTCCTACGTAGGACTTAGTATCTCCTACGTAGGACATAGTATCTCCTACGTAGGACTTAGTATCTCCTACGTAGGACTTAGTATCTCCTACGTAGGACTTAGTATCTCCTACGTAGGACTTAGTATCTCCTACGTAGGACATAGTATCTCCTACGTAGGACTTAGTATCTCCTACGTAGGAGTTAGTATCCCCTACGTAGGACTTAATATCTCCTACGTAGGACATAGTATCTCCTACGTAGGCCTTAGTATCTCCTACGTAGGATTTAGTATCTCCTACGTAGGAATTAGTATCTCCTACGTAGGACATAGAATCTCCCACGTAGGACATAGTATCTCCTACGTAGGACTTAGTTTCTCCTACGTAGGACTTAGTATCTCCTACGTAGGACTTAATATCTCCTACGTAGGGCTAAACATAGTATCTCCTACGTAGTACTTAATATTTCCTGTAGGAGATGATCGATATACGTTTATATGGATTAATCTGAAACGGTCGACTTAAAGCCCCAGACACGCACACAATCTCCTGTTTCACTGTTTCAGTCACTGTAAGAGTCTACAGTCATTCGTTTCGTTCACTATTAGAGTCCACAGTTATATATGTGTTTCATTTTCTGTTAGAGTCTACTATCATGTGTTTCAATTTACTATTACTATTACTAATTGTTGCACATTAGTACTGTGTTGGACCGACTGTTATACTTTACTGCCTTGCGTTCAGTTTGTTCTACTATTACGCGTTGCAGTTAGTTCACTGTTATATGTTGCACTTTGTTACACTTTACTATTATGCATTGGATATTTCAGAGGTCGTTGCACATGAATCATAATCTGCGTGTACAGACGTGTCTTAGACTATAGGTGGCAATCTATGTGTACGTATCCCCTTATATTTATACAAATAACTATAATGGCAATTCTTTGCCTATTTGAATTTCGTATTGTTTTACGCCGCACTCAACATTTGTCAACCCCAGTCAAGTCAACCTGTAAACAATTACGAATAAAACCGCAAACGAGCGTTGCATTCGATCCAACCTAGCCCCATCAAGACAAGCAACAACTTGCGGAGGTCGTGTTATAACCAGAGTTTCATATCACAACCTCACCCCAACCATCCCACCCACCTCTCGCTCTCTCTCTCTCTCTCTCTCTCTCTCTCTGTGTGTGTGTGTGTGTGTGAATAGATGTATGTATGATAGATTAAACATAACCATACCCAAACCTCCATAACTGCAATTAGAACAGGGTCCACGTCACCCTAACGTAATACAGACACAATAACACTGTACAGTAACACTGCGTTAGTTTCATGAATATTCACTGACTCACATTTCGACTATCTAACGTCCTGCATAGCCAAACATTTCTCAACTTAATAACCATCCTTAAAAAGGATATATTAAGTCCTACGTAGGCGATATTAAGTCCTACGTAGGAGATACTAAGTCCTACGTAGGAGATATTAAGTCCTACGTAGGAGATACTAAGTCCCACTTAGTATCTCCTACGTAGGACTTAGTATCTCCTACGTAGACATACTATCTCCTAGTATGTCCTACGTAGGAGATACTAAGTCCTACGTAGGAGATACTAAGTCCTACGTAGGAGATACTAAGTCCTACGTAGGAGATATTAAGTCCTACGTAGGAGATACTAAGTCCTACGTAGGAGATACTATGTCCTACGTAGGAGATATTAAGTCCTACGTAGGAGATACTAAGTCCTACGTAGGAGATAGTATGTCCTACGTAGGAGATACTAAGTCCTACGTAGGAGATACTAAGTCCTACGTAGGAGATATTAAGTCCTACGTAGGAGATAGTAACCCCCAAAAAAATTTTCACCGTGGCCCTACTACGCTTCCGTAAAATCATAAACCATTACAGGATCAATAACTATAGAAAAGTTTTAGTTTATGGCTTGTCTATATTTTCTTTCACAGGTAATAATCAATAATATGTATTAGTCAATTGACATAAAATAAATACTCAATTGCACCCTGAGTACAGAACATGTACTCACTTTGAAGACACCTATCAGTGTGCCACCCTGCTGCACAACCCCCAGGACAGATGCCTGTGTCCTTGTTACAATAGGCAGCGTTGAGGCAGTTTCCACACATGAAGTTGCAGTTTCCATAATAACCGTCTGGGCACACTGCACATGATGTAAAACAATCAGTTTATAACTTATATAATATGTTTCAAATAGTATGAAGCATCATAGATGTAGGCATACCCATTTCGAAATGGTAGGTTCACTTTGTTCTCATGGCATTATATTATGGTGACCCTCGTTTCATTTCGCTGTTGAGCATTCTTGGGACCCATCTTGCGCAAACATTAGACATGTTCATGCAGGATGGTTACAACTGATCAATATGATATGCCACTTGTCTGCTCTGACTCTTGGATGGACATTCGACGGTTGCTCATTACCAGGGTGTGCGAATAGTCAATGTTTTCCGGGCTGGTGCTGGTTGTGGGCCGACCAGGACGGGGGTCATCTTCAAGGCCCTCTTTACCGCACTGGAATTCCCTCACCCATCGCTTGATGGCTGCGGCCGATGGACAAGACTTCCCATATACTGCTGTCAGTCGCACTTCAGTGTGCTTCGCCAGGTGGCTCTGTACTCAAGTTTATCCATTTCTGCCGTTTCGTTAGGGGTACATGTGATTAGATGTCATGTGACCAGAAACTAACGACATACGCATGTCACAATTACGTTTAAGTGAATGATATAAACCATTCTTCACTGTCATACAGTTATTTCTACCATGCTTATAACATAAATATTTTAGGTTCCAAACTGTTGGATAGCCCCTCGTACTGGAACCATACATATATGTTAAAACATGGCACTATGGTTTACATTGCTTTATATATACTGGACAAATATAGTTGGGGATATATGTAAATTTTGAAATTATGAATAATGATCTATTTCTTCATTGACACATTGATAAAATATTAATAATAAAAATACCAATATCCCTAACTTATTTTGCCAAGTATATAATTTTTTTCAAAACAATCTTGTTGCGTTTGATGATTGTGTCAAGTGGCTTTAGTGTGACGTTACTACACCTGTTTGACTTGCATTCTCCCTTCTCCCATGTCGACCATAATTCCAGCAACTCATTTTAAAGTAGAATGTTCATCGCCGGAAGGTAATGCCATTATTTGATACTACGCACACAGATACATATTGGAATGGTACATATCTGGAAAAACAAGCGAGACATTATGCTTTACAATGAATCAACTTGATATGCAACAATTTCTTCAGCTTCAAAACAACCCCGCAGCGTTTTCCTATTGTGTCTGATTGGCTCAGAACCTGTACCTGTTTGACAGTCTGTTCCCATGTATCCTGGAGCACATCCACTCAGACACTGCCCAGTGATCTTATCACATACGTCTGTGTTTAGTGAACAGTGACACTGTTTGTCACAGTCCTCACCAAACCAACTGTCACTACAAACTGAAAACGAACATGATAACATGAACACATAACAAACATGAAATATAACTGATCACATCAGAATCACATAAAAATCATATTTCGTGAGTAATGATATTCAAAATTGGGAAAAGAGTACATTCCCACCGAACTATAAAAAAACAGTAATGCATTGAGGTGAAAATGGGAGGTTTATCTGTCCCATTACGATAGCATATTTCGGGACCGTGTTGTCTATATTTTCATTTACATTAAGACCGTCCAGGTTAATGCGAATCCTATTGCCATAACAAAGACACAATGGTTTAAGTCCCGTGCACAATGACGTCACTGGTGCCAACTGATAAACGAATGATATCATTATCCCTCGTTAGACCTGTTTCAAAAGGATACTGAAAAATGGTACAACGTTCCTATGTTTTACAAACAGTGTGTCCAAACTGCACATATTCATTTCGAGTCGGTTGTCCTTCCAGCATCGAATATGAAAGGTATGCACTGCCTAGCCATCAGGGAAAGTATCGATATACTTAAGCCCAATTCACACTAGAGCACGGTGGTACTACGATGGCAACACGAATGGATCGTAATGGAATCGTGCTCAGATTGTTACTATGTACACTACCAACACGATGCCTGTACAACTAGCGCACTATGCGTGCAAATCTTTGTTCGAAATGAACACGAAATGAACACAACATGAACACGATCACATCACAAACATGAAACGATGCTATCTCGATGTCATCACGATAGGTGTACCAATTATGCACGATTGTACACACAATTGTGACCAATCAGAACTCTTCTCTCCAAAACGACTCCCCTTCACGACCGTAATGCTATGGGTATTTAATGCAGTGGAATTGAGGGAAGGGGCATCAGTGTACATCAGGTTTCCAACTAGGGGGAGAAGATTGGAAGGGAGCTGGAACTAACTGATGTGGATTTGGATATGGTGGAGGAGAAGATAAGGGAGAGGAGGAGGATGTTGGAGGAAGGGCTACCAAAGAAGCTTCGACCACACCCCCATTTAGTCCTGACATTTCGTCATCCATTTGTGTCAAGATCGTTTAGTTGAGGGTCAATATCGGGTTTCATTCGACTTGCAGAAATAACAATAAAGAATGGGTAGGTGTCATGAGTGGTGATCGATAGGCCAATCATCCATGATTATGTTTACATTAAGATTTAATCGATGGCATACGATGGTAGCGTAGCCATCGGCAAAGCAGTCGAATAGGGTGCATCGAAGTGACCGACCTTGTCATAATGTACATGCACTGTGAAGCATTTCGAGTCGGGGGCCATCTCAAATTAAAAAAAAAATTCGGTTATCTTTAATCCTCGCAAAGACACGAAGGCCTGTGACTTGGATCTTCATATACTCCTTCAGAGTCGCCGAGAACAACTTTGGACTCTTCGTGCCATAAGTCTGTGAGACCATCGTAAAAGTATACTCATCCGAAGTCATGCCTCCATACATTACTCCTGAACAGGGAAAGTAATTGCTGACGGCTCCTGGACAAATGGAACATGCCCCACCCCTGCGGAGCTCTGGGTGGGAAACGCGTGCGCATCAGGTGCCCGAGGAAGTCTGGGTCGCTGTTCTACAACCGCAAGAGCTACTTCGCCAATGTGCTTTTTGCTCTGGCGGACCATGACTACAGGTTCATCTATGTTGAAGTCGGAGCCAATGGTGCCTGCTCGGATGGCTAGCTCTGTAAGCCTTCTGACCTCAGGAAACTGTTGGAGGACGATGAACAGGGACTCCCTGCACCTGAAAAAACTCCCGGTAGCGAGGAAGAAATACCGTACCTCATCATCAGTGACGACGCCTTGCCCCTGTGAACTTGGCAGATGAAACCATACTCCAGACGTCAGATAAGCAGACAAAAACGTGTGTTCAACTATCTTCAACTATTGACTGTCACGGGCACGAAGAATAGTCGAGAACGCTTTCGGCATACTGTCCTGCAAGTTCCAGTGCCTTCTCAGAATGCCATGCCGAGTGAATACGTCAACCATGGACTCCATCATTATGTGCTGTGTGATGCTCCATAACCTCCTCCTCCGCATCCAGAAGACACAACGTCGTCCCCGGTGACTGGAGACAGTGCAGACAGCTGGATGACATCCGCCTGGGCATCGACAATCAACACCGAGCGTATAGAGGCTAACAACAACGCCAGCCAAGACGGAAATAAACTTCGAGATACCCTTGCTGAGTACTTTCAAACAATAGAGCTTGATCGGTGCGTGGCAGCTGCATGTCCTCGGCTGAACTCTGAACTCTTCTTCACACAAAAAGCCACAACCCTCTCTAGAGCCACTATTTCTTCAAATAAATTAAATAGATAAGGGTTACATTTGCCATATTACAGTTACCTCTAGGGTACTGTCTGAATAAACTAGATAATTTGCTAGCTAAGAATCTCCTCCTCCGGTCTGCAGGTGGATGTGAACAGCCCAAACTGACTTGTGTTGCCTCTGTGGAGAAGGGCTTCTGGCTTCATCTGCTTCCTGGTGAACTTGAACAGCAGCAGTAACGGTAATATCTCCTGAAGACCCAGGTTGAGGACAGTTTTATCATCATCATCATCATCATCAGAAAGAGGTAGAGTAGCTGGACGCTTGGCTGGTCTCTCTCTTTTAAGTGCCATCTTATTTCCTGTAGATTTATCTGAGAACTTCTTCGTTGGCATGTTGTTTCTCCTTGTCTTTGCTCTGCACACTTTGATTTCACAAAGGAAATTGGATGCCTGCTGCTGCAAGGCCCTATGAGCGTGCACGTGGGAAACGTTTGGGCGGGAAGTACCCTGATTGGTGTAAGCTCAGTCCGCCTATCGTGTTTTGATCATACTTCGATCGTGTAGTCATCATGCATCTTCGTGTTGACTTCCTGTACTGATAGAATAGCCATCGCGTTCATTATCATATTAAAATTAAGAGGAGCACCATAGCAGTACGATTGCAACACGAAACGTTTCTTGATCGTGTTGTGCTTGTGGTGGAATCATGTCCAGAAGATGAAGCACGATCAACACAATTGCTACACGGACACTACACGATGCCTATACAATGATTACACGATCGACACGACCACATCACGATGTTTAAAAATTTCAAACAGGTTTTAGATTTGAATAATCGTGATGGGCTAAGAACACAATCAACACAATCACTGTGGGATCGCAACCCAATAACAACACGATGCCTGAACGATGCCTAAATTAAGCTTTACAGCGATCGTGTTCTAGTGTGAACTGGGCTTAAAAATAATTTGCTAAATATACTAAATCGTAAATTCGATGAACGAAACGGGGCAAACAACGTGAAGTACGCGCCATTGCTGGATCCAGATGAAGTACGATGATATGCACATGCCTCATAACATACTGTCAACGAGAACTGACGGTGAGTCTGATTTACCAATAAAACAACAAAGGCTCTGTGACACCCTACCAAGTGTTCACCATTAGGCGAAATATATCAGTAGGCGAAATATATCATGTGTGAAACCGAAAGTCGTGCTAGGAAAACAACACTTGCTGGAAATAAAAACATAACAAGGCTCAGATTTTACACTGTATCATTTTCTCATATAATGAGTCATCAGTTTGCCTATTCATTACATACAGTGGCTTTATATTCTTAGAATACGCATCGTTGCTAGAATTAGGCGAATATAATAATACATATTTCACTGGACTGGTACATTCAACACAATGTTATGATAGTTAGCACGCCATGACTGAAGCAAACTCACGCACAATGGTAACGGTACTTCTACTTATTTCTGACAATCATGCAGATGTCAGAGAGTTTCTGATAACTTACATGTCACATTTTTGCATATACGATCCCAGAGTCAACGAATGTCATATGTAAGTTAAACGTGCTTATACAAATTTGGTTCTTTCGTTTCGGTAAATGAAACTACACAACATCAAAATCTGTTGTTTACAGTTCCAACCTTTTAGTGCATCTTTCGCATATTTTACATACTTTTTCACACGGTTTATTCATCTTCACAATCTGTCGCTTACATGTTCATAGACGTATGTTAACCCACCAAATATCTGCACCTCGCACAACGTGAGAAAACTCCTTGTCTGTATTTGGAGGTTGTTTCCTGTCAGTGCTTGTTGACATTTGAAGTCCGTTATAGCAAGCGGGTAGGTATTCCATGACCACCCGATGCAAAGCTGCCCACCAACATATATCTTCATACCATTGTTTCGGTCTTGGACTGCAATTCAAAGTGAAAATACACATTCTGTCAAACATCAAAAATCACACATGAGCACCTGATCAGTTCGCGCCATGTGAAAAAAAATCACAACAAAGTTACCTGAGATGGCGCGGCTGATAACCACGAAGTATCTAAACTGACAAGATACCTGTTGTTAAGCAGTACAAGAAACATACCCCCCGCATGGGGTTGAATGAGTGTAAAATAAATGTTCGTTGGGGAGGGACATAAGAACACACAATTTAATGTACGTTTATGATTACCAGAGCATTAATCGTAGAATTTTCGGTATTTCAATGTAAGCTATGTAAGGCATGATGTAAATCAGTCTTGGACCCATGAAGGTAGCAAGAGTACCCTAAGTCCCCATGGCCCCTCGTGGGATGATCGACCATCAGTTCTTGGTGACCTACAGCCCCCTTCTATATTGTACTGTTCTCTTTAATGGTATGTTTGCATGCTCGTTCTATCTTAATATCTATGATATAGATTTTTAAGTTCAATTTGTTTCATGAGATTCATGAGAGGCATATAGAAGTTGGTATTGAAGTATAAGACAAAATATTATGGATGTCAACTTCTTCTTTATTGTATACACAATAGCCCAGAAACGTTGTGTATACAATAAAGAATATCCATGATATTTTGTCTTATAAATTGTTCCATATTTATTAATCGACACGATAATGCTGACATATTGCTGACATTATCTCAGTCACTCACACGAACCATACGCCAACGATTCATATTATTTGGTTAAGGATTATCAGATGTGCGGTTACACTCGATATTTACCTTCTGAAAACAAAAGACCCGTGAAGATCCGGGGTAGAATAGGTCTTCAGCAACCCATGTGCTTGCCATAAAAAGGCGACTATCTTGTCGTAAGAGGCGACTAACGGGATCGGGTGGTCAGTTTCGCTGACTTGGTTGACACATGTCATCGGTTCCCAATTGCGCAGATCGATGCTCATGCTGTTGATCACTGAATTGTCTGGTCCAGACTCGATTATTTACAGACCGCCGCCATATAGCTGGAATATTGCTGAGTGCGGCGTAAAACTAAACTCACTCACTCACTCTGAAAACAAAACGATGTTATATGGTCAGACCCATACTCACAGTTCTGACGTAGATACAGCCTGATGTGTTGTATCTTGTCTCTGTTTGAGTTGTTCAGGTTCACAGTCCATGTCTGGACCCCCCCTAATGTATGTGTACATGTCAGTGGTTTACTATAGAAGTCGGTGGTAGCTCTGCCATCCACGGCGTACCAGGCCTCGAAACTGTGTGCTGTATTCCCTGTCCTGACACTGGATTCACTGAAAGTACTGCTCTGTGTGGCACTTCTTCCTAAGGCAATATTTTCTGAAGAAATTGAAACCATGTTAAACATCATGTATATGAGACAGTAGTCGAAATAACAGAAGTAGGTCCATTGTGTTGCATGGCAGTGTACATGTATATTATTCCTGAATGCCTATTTGACGTGTCAAATATATATTCATGATATTGTCACAATTGAACAATCGACTCTGCCTTTAGCAGAGATTTCTTCCAGAGGGAGTTAGTGAGTTGAAATTTTAAGTCACATGGGCAGTATTTCAGCCATATCGCGACTAAATCAAGTTATAGATATATTAATAATTAAAGATAAATTATAACATTCTGTCCTCGAAGTACAGTAAAACAACTGGATTATCAAAGATAGAAATTTAAAACTAGTAATTTTATCTAAAATATATGCCATAGAGACATCACTGAATATGATATGGCATGATATTTCTCTTCACAACAACTGAACCCCTGCTCATTCGAACGTCATCGCGCAATACATGTATATCTCTAGTCGTTAAAATATAACAATATTTTGTTTTCCTGTATAGACCTCGACAACGCGGATTAATACATCATATTGGTGATTGGATTGTCAACCGCTTCACTCCAGGAAAATGTATGCTGCGTAGAGGCAATTTAGTTCCTTTAACTAGTCAAGCATATAAACAAATTAAGGCAGAAGTCAAGACGGAATTCATCGAAACACTTGTAAACTGTAAACATTTTGAACTTGTCGGGCTAGTCGTTGAGAACTGTTTACAAACAAGCAGATAAAAGGAAGCATTAGGAGCGGCACACACAACAGCAGAAGTGGAATGTGAATAACAGGGGAACTGTATGTTTCAAATAGTTGTGGTTAATGTTCTTCATAGGATGACGAGTCACGCCAGAGACGACTGCTCATTGGCTTGGAATTCCCACTTGTCGAGATTCGATGTTTACGTAGAAGGCTCCACCGTAAATTGGGCCTGAAAACACACTGTCTACAACCTCGAATGAAGACGATTTCAAGCATACTGTGTTCTGACGATGAGAAGTGTTTTTTTACACCTACATGAGAAACCGAGGCATGGCAGTGGCAGTAGAACACATGTTTTGTGCAGACGCGGATGTCGATCGTGGCAGTGATCGAGATACAAGAGCGTCGCTCATCTTTTGATGTTGAGTGTTAGAAACTCCCTGTGCAGTCCTGACTACATACACGCTGCAGGTAATCAATGGCTTGATAATATTCACAACTCTTCCAACCAGTTGTCCATCGATTGTGACCAAATCATAGGATTTTGCGGGCGACGCCATATTTCTTTACACTCACGATAGACCTCGTAGACGTATTTGTTTACTTATTTATTTTTGTTTTTATTTGTTTGTTTATTTTCGTTTTTTTGTACAGAAACTTGAGTTATTAAAATATTGAAAACCTATGCTTGTAACCACACTAAAAATAAATTTTATTTAATTTCATAGAAGTGTTCTCGTTTTACATGCTCTCAGAAGATGTGAAAACTTCTAAATGAAAATCATGAATGGAATGAGTGATGAAGTTGTACCGGTAATGTCAAAGTTCACGCATTAGCCAATCAAATGACTGGAAGGTGTTATGACAAATATGTGTCATAACGCTTTGTTATGAAACCCCTTTACGAACTACCACGTGGGTAATCATAGACCTTATATCATTTTAGGTATGTTTCATAATTTTATGCTTACTTCAAGATACATCCTGCTTGGTAAACATGTTGGAAGCAGAAGCAAGTCCCTCTTGATGTTTCCACCTTTGGCTGCATGTTGTCTGTAGCCTAGTTTTAATTAATCCCTAATAATACTCAAAGATATTTTAAAATTTTGAATTGGTATGTTATATACGCAAACTGTGATACTTGGAATACTGTCGACTTTTAAATGTCACCTTGTCAACTTGTACTCATCTCGATATGGCTAAACAAAGCCAATGTGATGTAAATTTGTAACTCACTCAGTATACTCATGATCGACATATTGTTTGCGTTCAAAGGTTTCGTGTCTGTCTAAGGGTAATACGCGACTATTGTGATTATCAGATGTGTTTGTATATCTGGGAACTAATCAACTTGGGAAATACTACTGATACAACGAGGAGCGTGATTTTTACTGTGATTGAAATTGTTTAATTCAACCGGAATGATTTCGATCATTTTGCACATCGATAAACAAAATGCGAATGCAAATTACTCACGTCTTTGACAGTAGGAACCGAACCATCCTTCCTGACATCTGTCTGGATCACCGACCTGGCTACAGGGAGTAGAGGGGAACACGACACAGTCAGCTGCAGTGCTACAGTGACACTCGGCACCTGAAGAGATAATGAAAGGATGTCATGTTCTTGACAATGCACGAATATCTAATATCTACTTACTCGACATGTTTCATCTTTCCGCTGCTGACATTATGACCAAGCCTCCTTGATATCATGTTCAATCTTATCATGTTTAATATTAAGTGTCAGATTATAGATTATAGTACCAGATGCACAGTTAATATACTAATAGTAACATGCGAACAAGACCTATAAAACGTCCTACCAGCGAGTGTCCCAGTGATGGAGAAAAACAACAACCCCGTCAAAAACCACGCCATTGTCTCTTGGCTTTGTTCCCTTGGGGATGGAACCTGCAATGAAACATACAAGGTCATCTCACAAACAATAGATATTTAGCACCTGAACAACAACACCTCAACAACTGAAGGACAGGTATTCACCATTCTGTAGTATTATTTGAGTAAAACTATGTTGTTGAACGTGCGCTTGAGATCAAACACTGTGAGACCGCCTCCGTGGTGTAGTGGTTAGAGCGTCCGCCCGGAGAGCGGAAGGTCGTCGGGTTCGATCCCCGACCGCGTCATACCAAAAGACGTTAAAACATGGTACTTATTGGTCCCTGCCTGGCGCTCGGCATCACTGGTTACAACAAGGACTGGTCGGCTCGGAGTCAGTATACTGTGTCTGAGTGGGGTATTCATGCTTCACTGCGGCATGGTATCTCAGTGGGCTAGCACTATAAAACCAGCTTAAGTCTGGGCTAGTACAAGCAGCCGCACATACACATACACACGCATGCACGTCGTCATATGAGCGAAATATTCTCAAGCACGACGTAAAACCCAATTTCAGCTCACCTCACCTCAAACCCTGTGGACTGATCTTGTGCTGCTTCCCCAGCCATTTGATTCTACTTTGTTTCTCGATCTCACTGAAACAATGTCACAATGAAATACCACCCTTCTCGCATGTACAGTTGTCCCAGAATTATTGAGAAAATCTTTGTTACCTAATACTGATAATATAATTTAAAAGCAGAGGTTACATTATGTAGTAAGGTATTCAATATGGGAGGCAACTCTTGTCAGCTTAAAAATGAACCTTACTAGATCAAGAGTTGTATGGTGTCCCCTGGTGTAGCAGACGGCTTCCTTTGTTGACATGGCAGAATTTACAGCAAAAGAGAAAAGAAAGCTGGTTCTAGATGATTTTAAAGGGGTTTGACTAATGCAAAAGAGTTAGCTGATAGACATGACATTCCTCTGTGTACAGTATACAGAACTTTGAAGACTATTCAGGAGTTGGGATTGAGCACAAGACAGGGGCAGGGAGGCGTTCAGTACTACGGATCGCCAGTGATTTGGTCAGATTGTGAGTAGGGGAAAATTGAAAAGCGTTGAGAATATCAGAAACGAAATGATTAATAGAGGAAGCCCTCAGGTATTTAGTGAAACCCTTAGACAAGAATTTACAAAGACGATGAGATATGTAAGGCTCAGACTGGGATAATGTTTTCTTTTCTGGTGGTAGCTGTGTATGACTTTGTCCGAACTGAGTGAAAATTTGGTCAAAAGGTACCGTGAAACCTATCTACCATCGCCCAAAACATAGCCCGAAATCTCACATGTGGGGTGGGTATCATCTCGTGGAATGACGCCATTGAGCATTTTCACTGGAAATGTGACGAAGGAACGATATGTTGACATTTTAAATGGTTACCTCCTTCCAACGACCCGAACACTGTATGAAAATACTTGGATTTTGCAGCATGATAACGACCCAAAACACACGGCGGGCTAGACAAAACAGTGGTTGTCGGACGAAAATGTTCCAGTTTTAGACTGGTCCAGCTACAGCCCAAGGCCGTAACCCTATTGAGAATGTGTGGGGACTAATGAAGGGCAAAATAAAGCAAAAAGAAGAATATTGAAGATATGAAGTAAGAAGTGGTTGCATACTGGGATATGCTGTCACACGATTTTCTACAAACTTGGGTCGGTCGTGTACCTAAGCGCATGCAGTCGTGTATTGCAGGGCAAGGAGGTCTCACACGTTACTGAAAAGACACTTAGACTGTTAGAGAATCATATCTCAACATATTCATTGAAGTAAAACTTATATAGTTTATATACATGCATTAGATATTTGCCGAAACAACTTACTCAAAAATTTCTGGGAATACTCCATACTATATGGATGGAGGTACACACAGTGTTCAGACAAGTTATTGTTTCGTCCCTGCTGACTTGACTTACAATTGATTGTATGTGTGGGACGTGAAGAACAGTCTATGTCTATACATTTATTGTTGTCTGCACAGATTTGTCTATTAAACAAATTGTAGAAGTAGACATAACATCTGAACACTTTTACTTTGATGTTATCACTTGGTTATGGAGACGTGTTATATTGGCATCTTTATATCGCCATAGTTCAGATACTAAATGTAAGCATCTCTCGAGGACAAAACGGTCTGATGTACGCCTGTTTTATAGCAGTGTTACCCGAGCCGGTACATCAGACCGTATTACCCGAGGGAGAAGCATACAACGTATTTATCTTACCGCCATGTTAAATGTACAAAATATAATTTTATTTTAATTGGAAGATCACTATATGGCATGTAAACAAAATGGCGTCTTCCTCTCGTTTGGATTTATATAATCAGTGAAACATATTCTGAATAGCTTAAAACTGCTATAAAAAATGGTTAGTTATGTTTAAGTTGAGTGTGCAAACGATTCATTGTATAAAAATAGTTTAAATAAGGCAGTGAAAGTCGGTGAAATAAATGTCTAGATAGTGTACTCAAAAACAGCTAATCGAACGGTTTTCAAACCCCGGGCACTGCATGCGTCATATTATGACCTCATACGATTGTTAGCGATACAGCTCCACGGTAGAGAATTTGGCGGTTACCGTGGCAGCGGGTAATATTTTTTCCAGTTGTCACCCTCCTGGGAGGGGTGACACGGAAACTTATTAAAGCGTCATTGACCAATGAAATTAAAGTATTTTACATGAACGTAAGATAAATTTGGATATATTCGGTATTTATTGTTTCACTATTCCCCTGTGGGTCGAACTGACCACGTATACGAGGAAGGATAGTTAACTTCCTCAGCTAGGTGTGGTAGGTGGCGTTCTCTCTTATAGCACATTGTCAGCTAGGTGTGGTAGGTGGCGTTCTCTCTCATAGCGTCTTGTCAACTAGGTGTGGGTAGATGGCGTTCTCTCTTATAGCGCATTGTCAGCTAGGTGTGGTAGGTGGCGTTCTCTCTCATATGGGTCTTGTCAACTAGGTGTGGGTAGATGGCGTTCTCTCTTATATCTATAACCCTCGGGCTCAACAAATGATAGTGGATTTGACTCATAGTGTTATGTCGGCTTGATCACGTGACGACATTGATGTGACGAATAAATAAAACACAACACACGTACTGCACATCCATATCAAGTGTGCTGTATTATCCCTACCAACTTCTAAATGCCTATCAAACGTCTGTGTAACTATCGCCTGGCTTACACGTAACCAGAAACAAGGGACAGTCAACAGGGACACACGATCCGTTATGTGAAGTTGCTCGACATGACATAGAGGCTGCTGTGTTGATGTTTGTGAGCAGTACACTGACTGTTACACACCAGTGATTTCTCCACTCCGGTGAGTCTGTTAAGAGCAATGGACCTCATGGATGGGAGACACTCTCGTCACTAGCACAACTATTTTCATATGTTCGAAGCAATGATCTACTTAAGGTATACAGGTGTGCCTATGTATATTACGAGAAAGGTAGAGTCAGATATCATGTACCATGAACGAAACAGGGATCCACAAATACCTCTCCATATCCACACAACTCGCCGTGCAATGTGCCCTAAAATACATTCCAATCAAGTTCACAGCCGCTCTCTCAACAAACAGTAACCCAAACGTCGGGCGCCACATAAAATTAAATAGCTTAAGCTGAGTGATAACAGCGAAGTTTGAATACATCTTATGTCGGAAATAACATATGAAACATAATTATGATGAAACTGATGGTAAAGGCATCAAGATTACATTACAAATGTATGGTACGCATGTAAAACCTCGTGGATACTCACCAGGGTATGTTGGAAACCTAAAGATTAAGCTGAGCGACTGTACCACTGTCGTGGGATATCATCCTGGGGAAATAACGGTATCTATCCCACGTAATTATGATGACACGGATACTACTGGCATCAAGATTAAATTGCAAATGTAATGTAAAACCTCATGGATACTCACCCGTGTCCACGTTGGAAAAATACATCCACACACAACCAGGAAGAAAATTGTAGGGAGGAGACTACCCTCGTTCCACACCAGGTGACATAGGAATGTCTTAACATTTCGTTCAACTGATATTACATCCTGGTTTGCGGGATACCTTGTACATAGTTTAATGTTATCTTTGAAGTGACAATGGCGTGTGTGTGCTCTTTTTCACACAACATAGTTATTTTGAACTTGATATCATTGATATGCCCCAGGAGACACGCTGCGACAGTCTCATGGGATTGAGATTATCAAGTGAACCACACAGTATACGATTTGTCATATACCTGCCTCCTCAAACTTATATTTTTCTAAATAATGACTTTGTAAGTCTAGTTATTTAGGGGACTGGTAGTTTATTATGGAAGAGATTGGCATAGTATTTTATTTTCACCCACCCCTAAATACAGTGTTATGAGAGTGTGTTTTTTTGTAATTTGTAATATCAGTGATTAAGTGATAGTTATTATGGGTCACAATATTTAAAGTTGTGAGTGTGGGTTTTGGCTTGCATCTCGCATCATATATGTTCAATGGCAATAGTATTGGCACGCCTTTTTTGAGATAGCGTTTCAGAATTACCTACCCTTGGCTTGAATGCTCGAGAACTGTGTACGAGCTATATAAAGGCTGGTTGTTGAGTAGTGGGACACGGGAGTTTCACATGACTGGATTTATACACATCTGTCTGCCAGCCTCGAGTTTCTCAACATTTCAAGACTGACGACCTTCAATCAGTATATCTGTTCTCACTGTAAATGTCAAGACTCTGGTGAGTTGATATCTTATATTTATGACCCAATATTTTAGATTTGTGACTCAATGGCATTGTATTAGAAATCTGTATAGTCATTCACTGTAGTTTGCTCATTGTTTGTTCAATATATTATTGAATATTTTAAACTTGTCTGTGTTCTTTTTTGGTGGTTCAAAGGCGACTTTTAAACCTTTTGTCACTGCAAATTATTAACCGTACCACTATCTATCTATCTGTCTGTCTATCTGTCTGTCTATCTATCTCTATCTATCTATCTATCACAGTTTCATTACGAGTGTTGTCTGTAACGTCATTCAGACCAATACATTTGCCCAGCTTCAGGAAAGAATCCATGATTGTTGCAGTCTTATGATGATCGAGCTATTTAATTATTGCTTTTTCATCACTTCACTAAGCAACTCGTCAAAATAATTGCCAGAGTGAAGTTGAGACTTGCACCTTACACTGTGCCGTCGTCGTCTTGTCAAATAACTTAGTTTCTTGTGTTCTCACATGGTCACATGTTCACAGACGTATGTTAACCTACCAAATATCTGCACCTTGCACAACGCGAGATACTAACTTGTCTGTATGGTGAGGTTGTTTCCTGTCAGTGCTTCTGCTTGATTGTGTTGAATTCTCCATCATAAGGGATAAATATTTCAATATAAAAAAAAGTAACGGACCTTTTTAATAATGTTAATTATCATTTATTCATTGATTTTTTTAAAAGAGATATATTTGTTAAATGAATTTTGATATATGTTTTTGTAAATAGATAAAGTTTTATAATTGGTAATTTAGATTATCAGCTTAGATTGTTAGTGGCTGTATCCTCAAAGGGGGTTGAAGTAGCGTAAAATTATTGTCCTCCTGGGAGGTTATGTAAGTCTCAAAACTTTCAAAGTCAATTCAAACATACCAGGATTTTTAAAAGTAGTATTCTTGTTATTTTAACTTTGGCTAACATTTCTTAGACTCATCAACAGCTGAAGGGATAGTGTAGATCCAACTAGGGCCCATGCAGGTAGCAAAGGTACTGTAAGTCCCCATGGTCCCGCGTATGGTGATCTACCTCCAGTTGTTGGCGAGCTATAGCCTGTTTTTATATCGTATTGTCCAAATAGTGCTATCAGTTTTAACTTTCCACACTAGTTTTAGTTGTAATTGTGATATTCTAGTTGTTTTACTGTCCTTCGTCGACAGGTTTTTATAATATACATATCTTCCATTTCAATGTCACATAGGGTCTCGTCACGATATGGCTGAAATATTGCCGATGTGACGTTAAATAATAACTCACTCACTCACTCACTCACTCCTGTCAGTGCTTGTTGACATTTGACGTCAGCTATAGCAGGCGGGTATGTGCCCTTTGACCACTGGAAGCAAAGCTGTCCACCAACATATATCTTCATGCCCTTGTTTCTCTCCAAGACTACAGTTCAAAGTGAAAATGTGCATTCTTTGATGTCATATGTCTCATTTGACAAGGCAGTAGATAGATTGGCGACATCTGAAAAGGTATAGTAAGTAATAGTATGCACAAACACAAGTCCAAAAGACAAACAAGTGTTGACTAAGGACCCCGAGTAGCCATGATAACAACACATCCACGCGCACCTGTTATCAAGCATTACAAAGAATACACCAACAATACATGATGTTTTAGTGATGGTTTAGTCAGAGAGAATAATGGGTAGTTGAGCACAATGCTATTTATTATTGAAAACTAAAATAGAATATACAATTCCCACCCATACTCACGGCCCTCACGTAGACACAGCTTAATGTGTTGTATCTTATCTGTGTTAGAGTTCTTCAGATGAACAGTCCAAGCTGGATGTGGATCCCCTGTGGCTGTATGTGTACATGTGAGAAGTTGGTGGTAGCTCTGCCATCTACGCCGTACCTGGCCTCGAACCTGTAATCTGTATTCCCTATCCTGTCACACTTTTCGGTGAATGTACTGCTCTGTGTGGCACTTTGTCCTATGGCGATATTTCCTGAAGAAAGTGAAACCATGTACAACATCATCAACAAAAGACAATGGTGGAAATAACGGCGTTTGGTTCATTGCGTGGTAACCGTTAACGTATGGCCGCGTATATTGTTTCACAATGTATATCTGACTTATACATAGCTTAGCTTTAGAAATCCCTCATAATAGGTAAACGTGGAATACGGATTGCTGATGTCAAGCAGCATTTCGAAATACAAACACCACCGACTATAATATGATATTATATTTTTCTTCCCAACAACTGAGTATTATATTGAGCGTAACATTGAAACAACATGTAATGTACCTTGTGATAGTACCAGAAATAGTAGAGTGTATTTAACGTTCAAACACGAAGAACATCTTCGATCTGTCATGCGTCCATTTGGAAAGAAGGCAGTTATCAAGCTGGCATGTTGCCTGTATTTTTGTCTGAACTGTGAAAGCACCTAAAAGCACATACGTCCATACACGATTTAATATCTTGTGCTAAGTTTGGACTAATGGCGTAAAATACATATCTTGTCATTTTTTCAAAACGTGTTTTCATCTTAAGTTTGACACAAATCCTTCAAATCTATAAACTCACAGCCAAACTATAAAAATACGTTATAGTATATAAAGTACGTATATTAATTTTACGCAGAGGAATCATGTAGGAAGTAGAAATGCCGTAAGTCTCCTTGATCCCCAGAAAGGGTGGTTCGTGGTCTATAGCCTAGTTATAAACTGTGCTAAATAATATTCGGAAAACAATTTCTGTTTTCATTCTGTTCGTATGTGTTATTTATGAACTGTGCTACTTAACCAATCTATCTAACCATATGTCTGGATAACCGTCCTGGCTACAGGCAGTAGAGGGGAACACGACACAGGCAGATGCAGTGTTACAGTGACATTCGGCATCTGAAGGTATATTGGAAAAAAGAAAACTACGTCATGTTTTCATGCTGAGGGGACATATACATTTATATATGAAAGGAAAACATAAATGTTTCACCCTTCCGTGGCTGACGTCCTGGTTAATTCCACAGAATATTTGGTCCCAGCTAATGATGCATGATACACGATGTCAGACAGAATTGTTATATCCAGGACATGTGAAGGACAACTTGGAAAATAGTACCAGATGCATAGTTGATACTAATGGTAGCATACCAACAGTGAGTGAGCGAGTGAGTTAAAGTCACAACCATAACATTTCAGCTATATCGTGCCAGAACAAGTTCTAAATACATGATGAATACATTCATATTATATACACCTGTCAACGAAGGACAGTAAAAACACCAGCATATCGCGGACGCAGAATTTAAAACTAGCATATATCGCAAAAATTGTGTTTCTCTCAGAGCAATATAATATAAAAGCGGGCTGTAGATCGCCAGCAACTGAAGAAAGACCACCATGCTCGGGGCCATGAGAACTTTTGCTACCTCCATATGGATATAGCATACCAATAACCCCTATTAAACGTGCTACCGGTGAGAGTCCCAGTGCTGGAGAAAAACAACACTGTGGTCAAAAACAACGCCATTGTGTTTTGGGTCAGTTCCCTAAGGGATGGAACCTGCAACGGAACAATCATTGGTGTGTATTCCGCTCCTACGCATATTTCACAAAACGACATGGTTAGGTAATATATAATCACGCCAGACATGCTTCTCCTTCAAATTTCAAGGACGATTTTTGGCAACTGAAAATATTAGAAACATTTACGAATTGCAATATTTAGTTGCTGAATGTACATTTGGGATAAAACCCGGTGGGCAGATCTTGTCAAGCTTACCCAGCCATTTGATCCGACCTCGTCTCTCGATCTCACAGATACAACGTCCAAGTGAAACAATAGCCGGCCGGCAGGTATGCTATATCACATGGTAAATGTCCTAGTTATTTTTGCCATCGCTGATGACTTGACATACAACTGATTGTGAATCTGGGACGTGCCCCACGACAGTTAACGTATACAATGCCGTCAGGTAATTCCGCGCACCTAAGCACATCGATCGCAACACGGCAGTTAACGTCTCTTATTTTTTGTGGTTTACGTGACTGAACATGCTGGTATGCATCATATTTACGAATATGAGATTCTAACGTTGCATTATGCCATACGGTTGACCTTACCAGCGTTCTGACGACATCACTTGCTGTCCGGTAATTCTGATATGCGCATAATTTCCAGCTGGAGATCCTAAGTATTGAAACATATTAGGGCCAGATTATTTTCAAAATCACTTCATCAATGTAAGGAAGAGTGTTGCATATTAAATTCAATTATGAATAATGAAGAAAAAGGTTTAAAAGAAGAAACCAATTTTCATAAAACTGTCAATTTATCTGTCAGTTACTGTTATTTACTTACCTTTAGTGATTAAAAGCCATCCCTTTGTAGAAATGTCCCGATTTCAAGCGTAAATGTGGTAGCAGACGATGTTTACATTCGATACGGAAGTACGCTATTGCAGAATCACCGGATGCGCGGAATTACCGGACTCGCTTATATGCATTTTGTTGTCTTAGTTGATTACTTGTGAATTTCTTTTAAGACTGATTTTTTGAGAACTTTTGACTGGACAGATGTGTCCATTAAACAAAAAATATATTAGTAAAACATAGAATCTCATCTGTCTCTCACTTGCATCTTGCTGTTTGTGGCACTCGTGAGGAGTGACCTGTTATAACGGATTGATGTGTTAATGGTCTTCGTCGTCACTTTAAGATAGTTACATAAATTTCCATAAGAAATACATATATTTGTTTTTAGCCGCAAATAGCTGCAATATTGCCGATGCGGCATAAAGCAAAATTTACTCACTCACTTTGCTATCGTTGTTTGTTGTATATTCCGGTACTCAAAAGGCCTCAGGCCTATATTACACTAATATTGTACATTTGCTTATTATTTGTTACTGGCGTTGTTTGTTGTTGGCGTATGCTTAACTTCCATCTTAGATATTATCACTTTCTTCTGGACTGGTTTAAGTATGCATGTATTGAACTTTTGTATAAAAACGAGATCTTAAAATAGCAATTTTGAACGACACTGTCCTCAATGAACAGGTTGAACATTCTACCCATCATTATGTCATAACGTTTAAGTTTTCAGGCTCTTTAGACCCGTCAGGTTTTACGTGGTATTATTATCATAATGTAGAGAACATTGTATCTGTTCAGTATTTAGTGTTTTACTAATGCCCTGTGGGTTGGACTGACCATGTATACGAGAGATTGTTACTCGCACTTTGTCAGCTGTCGACTAGCGAGTTGCTGCATCTATTACGCTCGTAATAAAACAACTGATTGTGTTATATTTGTGTTATGTTTTATTTCACAGTGGCTACATTGACATGGGTAATAAATGAAACGCTAAACACGTTCACTTAATAAAACCCGAAAATACAAACAGTATCTCCCTGGGAATATGCACTTCATTATATAACTATCGACTGGCTCGCAAGTAGTCAGTATCAAGGTACAACCAACAGGAACACCTCGATCATAACCGCATATAGCCTTTGCTGCGCGGCGAGACTTAGAGGCTGTTATGTTGATGTTTTTCAGATGTACGCATACCGTTACACACCAGTGAATCTGTTATTAATGCACCGTTCTAGATAGGAGACACTCTCGTCATTCGCTATCTACATTTACTGACTGTATACAGATGTGTCCATATATATTACCAGAAAGGTAGACACACATAGCAAGTGCCATGAACGAAACAGGTATCCACAAAACCTTTCCACACCAACACAAATTCAAGCTTGCATTGCAAACCAAAATAGACACAGGTCAGCGCCCCAGCCTCTCTCACAACAGGAACCCGAACGTCGGGCGCTTTGTACATAGAAAACACTGAGTGATAAAAGCGATGTCGAAATACATCTTTTTGAGGAAGTAACGGTATCTATCCCCATTATGAAACAAAATCGTGCTGAAACGGATACTACTGACATCAAAATTAAACTGCAAATATATGATCCACGTGTAAAACCTAATGGCTACTCAAACGTACAGCGACACACAACCAGGAAGAAAGTTGTAGGGAGGAGACAAAACCCGGTATCACAAAAATGTTTTGATATTTCGTTCAAGTTGATATTACATCCCGGATTGCTGTAGTTACCTTTACATGGTTTAGCGTTATATGTAACGTAAAATTGAAGCAGGTGTAAGTCTGCTCTTTGAACATGAGTGAGTGAATGTGAGTTATTATTAACGTCACATCGGCAATAATATTACCGCAGCCATATCGTGGGCGAGAACATATTTGATTTGGAAGTGGAATATATGTATATTATAAACACCTGTCGACGAAGGACAAAAAACAACTAGAATATCACTAAATGAGAATTTTAAAACTAGCGTGGAAAGTTTAAAACTAATAGCACTATTGGGACAATGCAATGCCATGTAAAACAGGCTATAGATTGCCAATAGCAGAAGGTAGATCACCATACTAGGGACCATATGGGGACTTACAGTATCTTTGCTACCTGCATGGAGCTCTAGTTGGATTTTGCACCATCTTTGAACATGAGATCATGATTATGCCCCAAAAATACATATATACTGCGACATTCTCATGGGTTTGAGATTATCAAGGATTTGAACAGTATAAGTTTTGTAAATAATCACCGCCTCCCTCGAAGTTTCATTTCTTTTATTAATGCGTTTGTGATTTTAGTTAAGGGAAAGTTCGTTTAGTATGGGAGGAGGAGGCGAAGCGGGACCTGGATTGGTATGGCATTTCACCACTTTGGTAACCCATACCCTAAATACAGGTGACATCCACCCCCACCCCCACCCCCTGTAATAAAAGATCAATTCACAAACTCATTTTTATCAAAAATATATATGAGTGTATCATATAAATTCGAATTGCGTCATTGACATAGCATTCTGCAAAGTCAATTTTACTTGAACATTAAAACGTGAACTTCTTTTATAGTTAATACACGACCACATACTGTTCTATATCTAGAATATACTCGTGTTCGTCAAATAAAGAAATTGACTTCCATCAATTATCGCCGTTAACCTATGCAATGATCGTGCGTTTTTTTGTTTAATACAGCACCAATATTCCGATTATAGAGAATCTAGTCTGAAAAAGTCAGTTCAGTGAGTGATATTATGAGGAACGTCTAAAGTAGAATGAACCACAACCAAGTCATCATGCCAATGAATTTATGTGGACGCCACGTTAGTGGTGAGTATTCTTGTGTTCTCTGTACGACTTCATAAATATGCTACCCGAGTAGTATGTAACCTTATGGAGAATCTTATTTGCATGTTATATTTCTATAAACAGACACAGTATTTATTTTCACTATCAGTGGGCATCCATGAACACAATTACATTTTGTAAATTATGAATATGTTGAGGGTTTCAATTAGATGTACACAGGAAACTGAAACAACGGGAGAGTGAGTGAGTGAGTGAGTGAGTATGGTTTTACGCCGTTTTTAGCAATATTCCAGCAAAGTCACGCGGGGGACACCAGAAATGGGCTTCACACAATGTGCCCATGTGGGTCTTCGGCATGTCGAGCCAACGCTTTAACCACTAGGCTACCCCACCGCCCCGAAACAACGGGAGAGGACATGGGTACACTACATAGGTCTTTGTGGATGTACATTACAGAGACGGTTCCAGCTGAGTCATACTTTTGCCACTTGCTACATGTGCATTGGAAAATGAAAAGCATGAGGGAAGCAAGACCACAACCTAGCTTTGATCGTTTGGTATAACGTACAACTAAATCGCATAAAAGGGACATGTCGCATTCACGCATTAAAAGTGTTTGTGGCCTGATTGAACAGGTCCAGATTAGATTGCAAGATTGCGAATGTTTGCATCATGTCCAGAAGTTGCATTCCTGTCTACTTTTCACAAAAATTGAGAATATGAGATATCGTAACCATGCAGTCAAGTATTTTCGCACTTTTGGTATATTTAGCTCCATAGTATACCGTACAAAGGGTTTCAAGCTGTATTTAGTTCAGACTTAAAATTCGCGTATCTCGAACATTCATGAAAGTTCAAATATACCTTGCAGTGTGTTAACGTGTTTCTCCATGAATTCATGCGGGTATATTCCTTTGTTCACAAGAGACACAGAAATAACAAGTTACATTTTCGATGTAAGCACATTTACACTTTGGGATTCCTGCAATGCACATCCCGACCGAACGAACACCATCTGGTCTGAGTCATATGGCGTATGAAAGCAGGGGTAACCGTTAACGGTATGTGCTCATTGTTCAGTTAAACATGTATCTGATTAAATTGGGATTGTGACGCATATAGGATCTACTATCAACACACATACCCAATTACATACCCAGTTACTTACATACACACAACGGATTAGAACCAAACTATATTTCTACTCACCTCCTACACCAACAGCTCACGGCTACCTGTCTGTACTGCAATATATGTCTACACGACCAGGAAGTGAATCAAGGGAACCAAGAAGCGAAAACATTTGTACAGACAGAATTTGTCTACAATTCACTTCTGCATAGTTTCCATTATAACAGACATCAGAAAAAAAATGTAAATGACACGACGATCCTTGATATAACTTTGAACACACACACACACACACACACTCACACACACACACACACTCACACTCACACTCACACCACACACTCTCTCTCTCTCTCTCTCTCTCTCTCTCTCTCTCTCTCTCTCACGCACGCACGCCCGCACATACGCTAGTCAGGCATACACAACCCCACACCAAAAGTACGTCGCAATGTAACAACATTCTGGAGCGTGACATTAAACGAAATTTTCTGAGGTCGAACGCCTTTATCCTCAGATCATGTATCAGCTGTTTAGCTTGAGCACGTTAGAGGATGCACACGTATTTCAAGGAAAGTATCAATTTGCTGATAAATATGAGAATCATTCAAAGATTCACCATCACAGGCCATAACAGGTATACTTTCATTAAATAATAATAACACCAGCATGTTCTGTAGGTTACCATGCACCAATATAGTAACACATTAACACAACAATCCTAACCAGCCCTAACTGTAAATCGTTGGGGTTCCTATTCAGTGTAAATGTAAATTCTTATTTCTGTCAGTATAATACTCTTTTAGGAACTTTGATCTAACCATGATGCACAACCAGCCAAAACTTCCCATGCATGTTTTGCATGTCGAGATTTCATGAAACAGATGAACTATGAGCATTGCGATATAATATTGAATGACGACTACGTTTTTAGTGATATATCTGCAATTCAGACTGTCTGCCGGTATCCTAAACAAGTATGTGCACTGCGTAGATCCCTTAAATCACATGTATTGAATAATTAAAGTATAAATGCTAGAAATACAGTGGTACATTCTGAAACAGGAGGTAAGGATGTATTTATTGTCACAAGTAAATCACTACATGAGGTTCGTTATGCGACCATTTCCATTCATATATCCATTATGTATACATCATTTTGTTCTATGTTGAGGGTCTGCTCGTGATTCGTGCTTTAGGCTCCTTGTTTACAGCAGGTTATGGACTGGAGTCTTGTGATTACATCACACCAGAAAGCCAGGTCAAACCCAAGTCATGACGCCATTATCTGTCTTCTTGTTCTGAAACCAATGTTACACTATTAGTCACACGGTGTTTTGCATGTTTTCGTTATGTTGAATTCTGTTCACAAACACTTGATATTACCATTTTCATGATAGTGATTAATACACATATGCTTACCTTGAATACTGTCACTCATGATTATCGAAATGTTCGTGTCGTTTTTTCTTTGCAAAACAAATCTAAGAATTTGGAGAGGGGGCATTCGAATTTTAAACCAGGAAAGGATCGATGGTTATGGAAAGACTTTGGTTTATGGCATTCCTTTATTTTCTTTCGCAAGTAATTCGGTACGTATAATCAATGATATGTAATAGCCAATTGAGATGAAATAAATAATCTGACACTATGCAAAGAGCCACGCAACTGCACATTGAGGAAGCACTATGTACTCACGTTGAAGACATTTGTCAGTTCGCCACCCTGCAGCACAACCTCCAGGACAGATGCCTGTAGTCTTGTCACAATAAGCAGCGTCGTAGCAGTTTCCACACTTGGAGGTGCAGGTCTCCATAGTGACCGTCCTCACACGCTGTACATGATGTAAGTTTGTCAACTATCTAATATGTTTTTCAAATAGTTGGAAGCAATGTAGATACAGACATACGCCTTTTCAAATAGAAGCTTCATTTCCGGAAGGTAATGGCAATGATTAATACAGTCCAAGGATGAAGGTGTCCTACCCATCAAGATACATATGTGAAACGGCTTACATAACTGTTACAGGAGGGAGACAATATACCTTCTATTCAATTTAAACACTTTTCAAAGCAATCCTGTTGCGTTTGCTGCTTGTGTCTGCACCATGCTAGGACGTTAGTGTGACGTTATTACACTTGTATGACTTGCAATGTCCCTTCATGCCGACCAATAGTCTATTTCATGCAGGATACAACCTTCGGGGTGTCGTTGCAGCTTAAAAGCGTTAACCTTTATGATAGAACCATATGGAGGCCATTTCCAAAGTTGATGCATCAGTAGCAGATAATTCCCTATTTTCATTGTACTACATAGTAGATAGCGTTTGTACCCGTGAAGGTCCGGTTAGAATATTGATCTTCTGCAACCCATGCCTGTCGTAAGAGGCGACTAACGGGATCGGCCGGTCAGGCTCGATGGCTTGGTTGACACATGTCAACGGTTCCCAATTGCGCAGATCGATGTTCCTGTTGTTGATCACTGGATTGTCTGGCCCAGACTCGATTACTTGTAGACCGCCATATGGCTGGAATATTGCTGGGTGCGGCGTAAAACTAAACTCATCACTCACTCACCCCAGATAGCGTTTGCATGTGTTTGTGACGGGTGGAATCGGTTGTGCAGGATACAGGTACAGTCAACCTTTCATGAAACCCTTGGAACATCACTATTTGATGGTTATTCATAATAGCATGATATTGTCGGTACTGCTTTTAGAAAGTATTTCTGTTTGATATAGGAAAAGGTATTCTCATGTCTGTGATAGAATTCTGGGAACATGCACGAAACCACATATTTGCACATTGAGGAAGAAATATGTACTCACGTTGAAGACATTTGTCAGTTCGCCATCCTGCTGCACAACCTCTAGGACAGATGCCTGTAGACGTGTTACAATAGACAGCGTTGTAGCAGTTTCCACACCTGGGGTTGCAGTCCCCATAGGAACCGTCTGGGCATGCTGTAGGTGATGCAGAACAACTTCGTATGATGTGTTTCAATTAATCTGAGGCAATTTTAATATTAGCCATTTTCAAATAGAAGCTTCATTCCCGGAAGGTAATGCCAATATTTAATACTACACACCAAGATACATAATTAAATGGTACATATCTGGAAAAACAATCGAGACATTATGCTTTACATTCAACCAAATTGATACATAACAATTTCATTAACTTCAAAACAACACCATCACGTTTTCCGATTTTGTCACATTGTCTCAGAATCTGTACCTGTTTGGCAGTCATGTCCCATGTTTCCTGGAGCACATCCACTCAGACACTGTCCAGTGATCTTATCACATACTTCTGTGTTTAGTGAACAGTGACACTGTTTGTCACAGTCCTCACCAATCCAACCGTCACCACAAACTGACAACGAACATGATAACAAAAACATGAATGCATAACAAACATGAAATATATCTGACCACATCAGAATGACATTACAAATCGTATTTCGCGATGAATGATGTTCAAAATACGAAACAGAGTACATTCCCTAAGAACTATCAAAACAATATGGCAATAAAGTGAAAACGGGAATAAACAATCTGACATTAATCAAGTATATCTTTTCTATCGACTGTTTCATGATGAGAGCATACTTGGGACCATTGTGGCTATGGTTTCATTTACACTGAGACCTTCCAGCTTTAAGCGAGTCCAATTACCATAATAAAAACACAATGGCTAAAGTGCACTATACCTCGAGAAACTTGTTTCATAGATACGACTGTGTGGTTATTGCGTATAGAGAGCCAGCCTATCAGTACTGTCTTAGCCCTTTGGTGCATGAACGTCAGCTGGCTTTGTCGCATTGTGATGATGATTTTAAAAAATAGACATTCTACAGAAAAGTGGTACAACGTTTGAAGTTTTTACAAATAGTGTGACCAAACTGTGCATCATTCATCTCGAGTCGATTTTTCTTCCAACATCGAATGTGAAAGGTAGGCACTGCCTAGGCATCGGTAAAAGTGCCAGAATGCAAAGTTTGCTAAATATACTCAATCATACATTCGATGAACGAAAAAGGGCAAATAAGGTCAAGTAAGCGACATTTTACACACTTTTTGTCACACGATTAATTCACCTTTGAATGTCTTTTGCATTGGGGCCATACAGCAGTCATTCTACATTATATGGCACATATATCTGCATCATATATATTCTGATAGTAGTGAATATATTGTTCAAATCAACTCTAAAATCACAATCTGTCGCTCACACGTTCATTGGTGTATGTTAACCTACCAAATATCTGCACCTCGCACAACTGGAGAAAACTGTATGTCTGTATGGTTAGGTTGTTTCCTGCCAGTGCTTGTTGACATTTGACATCAGCTACAGCTGGCGGTTCGGTATACCTTGGCCACTGGAAGCACAGCTGTCCACCAACAGATATCGTTTTTGGACTGCATTTCAAAGGGAAAAGACGCATTCTGTCAAACATCCAATATTACTCCTGAGCACCAGATCAATTCGCGCCATGTGAAACAAGTCACGACGAACCGACAACGTCCCTGTTGTTAAGCAGTACAAGAAACATACCCCTCAAAGGGGGTTGGATGAGTGTAAATTAATTGTCCTGTGGGGAAGGTACATAAGAACACAACATTCAATGTATGTTAATCGCAGATTTTTTGTTACATAGTGCTGTCTAAGGTATGGTGTAAATCCATTTTGGATCCATGCAGGAAGTACTATAGGTCCCCACGGTCCCTGGTGTGCGATCTATTTTCAGTTGCTGGTGATGTTCAACCCATTTTTACATTGTATTGTTCTCTTTAATGATATCTTTTTTATAATAGCATGATGGTTTTAACTTAATATCTCTGATATAGGTTTTTAAGTATAATTGTTTCGGCTTTGATATGTAATTGTTTCTCGTCACGATAATGCTAAAATATTGTCGATGTGACGCTAATATTATCACACTCATGCGCAACATACACCAACAATTCATATTCTATCAAACATGATATTGTCCTTAATGAAAACAAAATGATGTTATTATAGTGAGACACATACTCACAGTCCTGACGTAGATACAGCCTGATGTGTTGTATCTTGTCTGTGTTTGAGTTGTTCAGGTACACAGTCCATGTTTGGTTTCCATCGTTGGTACATGAACATGTCAGTGGTTTACTATAGAAGTCGGTGGTAGCTCTGCCATCCACGCTGGACCTGGCCTCGAAATGGTGTAATGTATTCCTTTTGATTGGTCTCACGGTATGTACTGCTCTGTGTGGCCCTTCTTCCTAAGGCATATTTTCTGAAGAAAGTGAAAACATGTAAAACATCATACACATGACACAATTGTAGAAATAATGGCCTTAGGGTCATTGTGCGAAAACAGTTAAGGCATAGAAGTGTACATTATTTCGTAGTATGTATTTGACTTATCAACACCGGGCTTTAGAAATCCCCCATAACTAACAAACGTGGAATGAGGGTTTACAGATATCAAATGGCATTTCAAAATAGAATACGATATGACATGATATCTTTCTTTGCAACAAATGATAATAATATGGAGAGTGCATACTCCAGCCCATACAATGCATGTATATCTCCCGCTATCTTGGAAACCATTACAAACACGTTACTCAGTCTAAATTCAGGTGTTCAACCACTGTTTAAAACATTCTTGTTGTTCTTTTAGTTGTCATCTCCAAAGTGTTAAATAAGTCATTAAATAACGGTAAAACAAGATAACAATATATCAAGATATCACAAATATCGATGACTTGTATCCATGCTACATCTACCCGTCTTACGCAAACTCACGTGTTTGGCAGTAGGTACCGAACCATCCTTCCTGACATCTGTCTGGATCACCGACCTGGCTACAGGGAGAAGAGGGGAATACGGCACAGGTAGCAGTGGTGTTACAGTGACACTCGGCATTTGAAGAGATAGTGAAAAAAGAAAATGATGTCAATTTCTTGACAATGCAGGGACATCTGCTCGTACAGATGAAAGACCAAGAAGATACATAAAACGTATTCTCAAAAACTCAAAATGTTTCATCTGTCCACTGTTGACATCTTGGCCAATTCCCCTTAATATTTAGTCCTAGTTAATCATACATGACATAAGGTGTCAGACAGAACTCTTACATCCAGGATGGGATGTACAACTTGAACCAAACTACCAGGTGTATAGTTAATACTAATGGTAGCCTACCAAAACCCTTCAAAAAAAGTCCTATCAGTGAGTGTTCCAGTGATGCAGAAGAACAGCACCGTTGTCAAAAGCCACGCCATTGTGTCATAGGTTTGATTCCTCACGGATGGAATCTGCAACAAAACATGCACTAGCGTTGATTCTGCTCTTCATGCCTATTTCACATAGGGACATTCTTGCATATATAGTCACACTGGACGACTTTGGTAGTGGAAATCTCACAAACAATTACTAATTGGCAACATAATTGGTCGTTGAATGTGCCCTTGGGATATAAATAAACCTGTGGGCTGATAAAATCAATGCTTACCCAGGCATTTCATCCGATCTCGTGTGACGATGTCACTGAAACAATGTCACAGGGAAACACTACCCTTCAGACAGGTACACTATGATACATGGCAAATGTCCATGGCTGCGTCTGTAGAGGAATATGAACTCATTGCATTACTATTCACTCACTTACATGTAAATAGTAACGAGGTACACCCAAGAGCGGAACCTGATCACAAGAATGTCTTGGGTTTTCTTTCTGTTTTACGGATAATTTAGAGGCTCTTATGTTGATGTTCTGAAGCAGTGCTCACACTGTAAACGGATCAGTGATTTCTCGACTACAATGAATCTTATAACAATAAAGAGTCTCTTGTCCTCAGGTTTGGACATACTGCTGTTTCCATATGTTCAAAGCACGGATATATTTAGTGAATATTGATATGATCATGTGTATTACGATAAACGAAACAGGTAAAACATAAAATAGACTCGGATCACCATGACACGGCCGCTCTCACAATATATAGTATTTCAAATGTGGGACACTTGTAAATACACTCAGATGAGTGATAAAAGATGTCGTAGTAATATTCCATGGAAAACAACGGTATCTATCCCACATATGTGACATAATTATGGTGAATCGGATATTGCAGACATAATAAAATGGTAATCATGAAAATCTATATAATACTCACCTACGTCTTGACAAGTATGAAATTATTGCATTTTTAAAAGAATTAGATTTATTAAATGATTTGTAAATAGATCAATGGTATTTTAAACATGGTAGTATAAATTAGTAACTGCGATTGTTAGTGGCTGTATCCTCGAAGGGGGTTAAAGTAGCATAAAATTATTGTCCTCCTCAGAGGATACGTAAGTCCCAAAACTTTCAAAGTTAAATTTTTGCTTACCCGATTAAACGTAGTATATTTGGTGTAAATCCAACTAGGGTCCATGCAGGTAGCAAAGGCACTGTAAGTCCCCATGGACCCTGGTATGGTGATCTACCTTCTGTTGTTGGCGATCTATAGCCTGTATTTATCTTGTATTGTCCTAATAGTGCTATTAGTTGTAACTTTCTACACTAGTGTTAATTATAATTGTGATATTCTAGTTGTTTTACTGTCCTTTGATAACAGGTTTTTATCAACACTGACAAAGCATTAAACATACTGCAGCGCATTCTGCAAACCTGTGGGCGAGATATGGAATGTAGACAACCCAAAACCATCAACGCTAAACAACAACCAGAATGGTTTGATCAACAGTGTCAGCCTCTTAAACACGAAAAGTATAAACTGCTTAATGTGTTTAGAAAAACAACAACATTTGAGAATCTGGATAGATACAAAGACATTATATCTCAGTTCAAACAGACTTGTAAAACTAAGAAAGATAGCTATAAACTTTCCATTACTCAAAAAATACATGATGCAGCTTGTTCCAGAGACTGCTCAGCATTTTGGCGACTTGTGAAAAAATATACCACAACTCGCGCCATGGAAGAAAGTGTAACCCCATCAACATGGGCTGAATACTTTAAGGACTTGTTAAACCCAACTTTGCCAGAAGATGACAACTTTTCAGAAGATGCCAAATCATATGTTGATAAACATGACTTTAATACATGTGTTGATTGTATCAATGACAATGATTTTCTATCATGTGACTTTACAGATCAGGATATAATAAATGCTATCAGACATCTAAAATGTAACAAATCCCCAGGCGATGATGGTATTCCCGCAGAGTTTTTCAAAGTTTCTGAACATATAATAGTTCCCTATTTAGTATTACTGTTCAACAAGATACTCTTATCCGGCTTTTGGCCAAATTCCTGGTCAACTGGCATTATTATCCCACTACATCTGACCCGAATAATTATAGGGGGATCTCTCTTCTGAATGTAATGAGCAAAATTTTTGTTTCGGTTCTAAACAAAAGATTGGAGTACTTTTTGCAACTTCGTGAGATAATTGGAGAATATGACGGTGGATTTAAGACAGACCATTCGACTGTGGACAGTATCTTTAGTCTCCAGACAATCATTCAGAAGTATTTAACACGTACAAATGGGAAGATATATATTGCATTCATAGATTTTCGCAAGGCCTTTGACATGGTGAATAGGTTTAAATTACTGTATGTTCTTTTGCAAAATGGGATCCATGGACATTTTTTCAAGTTGATTAAAAATATGTATACTAATGTCAAGGCCACTGTAACCTATGAGTATGGTAAGAAATTAACTGAATATTTTGATAGCACCTGTGGGGTTCGGCAAGGCTGTGTCCTTAGTCCGGTATTATTTTCTTTATATATTAATGAGCCTGTATTGACCTTAGAAAATAAGTTTGATGATGGTATATTTATCTCCGAAAATATGTTGAATATTATTGCTCTGTTATTTGCAGATGATTTGGTTTTGGTAGCTGATACTGTTGTTAGATTACAGCGCCGCCTTGACGCCCTACATATGTATTCCCATAAATGGGGCATGGATATAAATACGGATAAAAGTAAAATAATTGTTTTTAAAACGGGTGGACCCATTGTCCAAACACGAAAAATGGTTCTATAATGGCATTCGAATGGAAACTGTCAATATTTATAAATATCTAGGACTTATGATAACTCCCAAATTGATTTGGACTAGGACATGTAAAACATTATCTGATCAAGCTAGTAAGGCACTGTGGCCGATCAAGTCATTTATAAGACGATATGATATGTCACTCTCAGAAAGGATTTTATATTTTTGATATAAAGATTGTACCAATTCTAACATATGGTGCAGAGATATGGGGTTTTAAAAAGAGAGAAAGTATTGAAATTGTTCATCGAAAATTTTGCAAATTTTAACTTCAGATTAGTTACACATCATCTAATGCTGTTGCATATGGGGAATGTGGGAGGGCACCCTTAAGCAATGTTTATTATGTCAAATGTATTAAATACTGGCTAAGATTATTAAGAATGCATCATATCATCCATATCAATGTTATCAATTTTTATTATCTGTTGAATTCAGGAAACGTCCCACATGGGCTCGGCATGTCAGTGATTTGTTATTTTATCTTGGCTTTGGTACTGCTTGGATTTCACAAGATGTCGGTGATACAAAAATGTTTCTATATATGTTTACTGAAAGAATTAACAACTGCTCTATGCAAGAGTGGCATTTGTCCCTAGATGTTCCTTCGCTGTCTTTCTATAAGTCCCATAAATCTCTGTTGACCTGTGAAAAATATTTATCATTGAACATAAGTAATAATAAGTAATAATGTTCACATTATTTAGATCAGGTGTAATGCAGTAGGTATCAAATATATTAGAAGAGGTACTGCCTCCTGCAATGATGATATTGTATTATGTAAACACTGTAAAAGTATTGAGGATGAAATCCATATTGTCTATATTTGTAAACGCTATGAGGATATGCGTCGGCGTTACATTCCGAAAACGGTCCATGGATATTATTATTCACTCCGCAGCATATGTACATCATCCGACAATAACATCATAAATAATTTTGTCAAGTTCTTAGAGCATGTTTATTCTGCTCCTCTTAGCGTTGTTGTATGAAAATGGTAACCAAAATCACTATTGTACTACCTTGTACGATGGGTCGTATGGCCTTTA